ATATAAAATAAATCGCCTTTCGACGTTTGCGAGCAGCACATGGTCGAAAACTAGAGAATTTCCGAAACGTGAAAATGTAAAAGTAAAATGTAAAAGTAAAAACTTTGACCGTACTGCGGATTCAGTTCAGCTGCCGCAGATCTCTGACGAACGGAGAGTTACGATTACATCATAATAATTTGCATAATGTAATTCAGAATATTTTTAGGTTGAGAATATTTAAATTTTTAAATCGGAAAAATTGGAATTTGAAACTCTCATTGTTATTTTTCCATTCAGGTGGAAAGATAATTTTCAAACAATCAGTTTTCAACCAGTTCCACGTGTCTTTTTTTCAATTAAAAAAAGCAATGTCTTTTTTAAAAAACTGTACTTATTAAAATGAAAAATTACGTACTGTTGAAAAAAAAGTACAACTAATCTTATTTAAGTCTTATAAGAAAAATGTGTCAAATGCGAGTTGTATATCATATAGCATCAAAAAACACAGTCGAGAATAGAATATTTGTCATTTGGCTTATATCGCTGAGCCAACTGCATTAAAATTTCATAAACAGAACGGAAAGTGCACTCACGCTTATTAGTACACGGGAGCGTAAATGAAAGTGAGCATCATTTGGTCCATCTGAAAGTTCATAAATGAATCGGCCGTGCTCGACCCTCCTTATAATTCGCAGAAACTTTACTGCACTTCAATTTGCAATTTTTGTAGTTGTTCAATCGATCGATCACGATATCACGCGAAGACTATATTACAGTCTATGTCTCCGCGAGACAACGACGCTTATATTATCTTTCAATTCTATGCCGCAATAAATTTGTAGAAGGAAAAAATTTGCATTAATGCAATTTATATGTAATATTGCCTAAATGTTTTGATAAAATTATAAGCATGTAACATATTTATTGCATTTTCTATTATTTTCTACGAATTCTGTGAAAAACTTGAAGTAAATTTTGTTCTTAACGGAAACAATCGCACAATCTAATATTTTTATTACAATTTCTTTTTAATAAAAGATATATAACATTTCACATTGTTTTTTCATAATTAAATTTCAATATTATATTTTCATTAAATCATTAAATTCTTATTTCAACATTACGCTGAAGAATTTTCTTTCATTTTTTATATTGAAACCAAAGATGTTATAATTGTTTCCTGTACATACCCAAAAGCAAAAAATTGTGATAATTAAACTGTCAACAGTTTTAATAGATTAATCTTACAAATTAAATTGAAATTTTTACAGAAAATCAGAAATTATCTATCTAAACTATGAAATTTAATACATTAGTATTTTTTAATTTGTAATATTAAAATTAAAATTAAGAAAATAATTATGTTTGAAAGAGAATCGTTATTTTTATTGATCTAATATGTAGAAGAAAATGCAATAACGTATAAACTGATAAGAAAATTCCGATGGTGATAATTTCTTAATCTACGATTCTACAATAACTTTTCGCGTTATTATCGAACAAAGATGTTTTTTCTGCCATAATCTTTCGTCGAATGTGTATAGCTCGTTTACAGAGCAGATTTGTATTTCTACGGAATCGTGTGTTCACGAAAGGAATAAATTAAAGTTCGTGAACTAATTTAAATGGATATCGGCGGCGTGTAAAAATAAATAAAAACCACCACGCGTACTCGTAAATTCGCGATGCATTCCAATTGCGAGTTCCAGTTACGCGGCAATTTGCAGTGACTATGAGAAGTTTCAGTGAATAAAATCATTTTTGAATAAAATTTTTTCACAACACTTGTCAAAGTCGTACATTCTTTATCGAAACAATAGAAAAATTGAGTAACGCGATAATATTATATATATATATAATAATAACATTCATGTAACCATCAATATTTCCATTTTCAAAAATTTATTATGCTTTCCATTATATGTGTTCGCGTAATTTACACTTAAGTAGAATCAATAAGTTCAAAAAAGATAATGTTAGGTTAGGTTCTTCTCCCTTGATCATTAAAAGTTAAAAAAATGTATTAAAAATATTTTTTATTTAATTATTATGTG